ACATATTTTTATCAAAGAGTATTAAAAGATTTCTTAAACTTATTATAATATTGATACACTAATTATTTATATCACTTTTTTTTATATATTTTATGTTATTATTTATTTTAAATAATAAATTTTTCTTCTTTTAAAAAACAAAAATACATTTCAACAATCTGCCATCAGGTTTGATAATGCTAATTTGATTTAGATGAATGCTACTGAGAGATATAATTGTTGTCACCAAACAAATGCTGAAGATCACTACTAGCAAACAATATTATTTTCTAACAACAATCATCTATACCGAACTGGTTTTTTCTTACTGTTGGCTAATTTTGTTTATGCAGACCCCTTTGTATATCCATATACGCACAATTATGCAGAAGGTAAGTACCTCTAATCCACATCTTGTTCAATTAATTTATAAGAAAAATATTTATCAACCGACTTTGTAAAAAATTAAGGAAAAAAATATCTTAAAATTATGTTATTTCAATATATTTTGTTAAAAAAACTAAAACACCTTAATTTTTAAGGCAAGATTTGTTTTCATTTTTTCTCATGTTATTTTCTTAAAATAACATAATTTTAAATATTTTTCCTTCAATACTAATCTCTATATTATATATGAAGCTAGCATAAAATTTGATTAGACGAATGCAACTCGGATATACAATTGACTTAACAACAATCATCCCTACGTAATTGGGTTTTTCTTTAATTAAATTCCTTCCATTACAATAAGTTAAGATCATTTCTTTCATTCTTTCAAAATTTAGGATTAATAGAACTGCCAGTCCTTTGTACTCTTGAAAAGGTTCAAAGTTATCGTTCAACACACAAAATATGCAATTGTCCCTGAAATGTTTTTCATCTCCTCGATTAAGTCCTTCCATTAAATCTCAATTACTTGAAGTTAATGCAATGTTTTTTAAGTCATTGTTAGAATTATAACTGCATACAATAAGTGCCTCTCAATAATCAATTACCAAGCATGAATATGATGATTGCCTATTTGTTAATTACGATTGATTACTAACAAATGGTTTCCAAAAGATGTTTACACATTTTGTAATTAAATTGTATGAAAAATATAAATGTTAACTTTTGATTTATTCAGTTACTTTTTACACGTGCTGATAATAAAATAAAGATTAATTTTTATATCTTTAATATAAATAAATTGAATATATATATTTATTATACTATTAATTTGTGGGGGTAAAGAAAAGTTAGATAAACCCATTAAAAGGACAAAGATTGATTACAAAGGACAAAAACACACACGCGCCTGCACACACACAAAAAATAATAATAATAACAATAAAGTACTAATGCTTGCTTTCTGGCAGCAATCCTTCTTCTAAGTCCTCTCTAATTGTCTTAAAAGTTGAATATAAGCACCCTAAAATTCAAATGTCAAGGAACAGAGCGCACAGTACAATATATAAATCTTTTAAAATTAGTATTTAATAGCTGGATTTACAAAAAAAAAAAATAATAATAAGTAAAAAAATTCAAAACTACATTTTTTCTATAAAATATCACAAAAAAAAAAAAGAGAGATTAAAATAGTTTCATTCATTGTTGGTTTAAAAATTAAGATATTTTATTTTTTACAATAAAAATTTATTAAAATGACATAATTTTAAATTATTTTTCTGTTTAATTTTTTGCAAGTTTGATTGATAAACATTTTTCTTCAAATCTTTTACCTAAATTATAAAAAAAAAAAAACACACACACACACACATACACACAATATATAAATCAATATTATGTTATGGCAAAAAATAATAATAATAATGTTTTTTTTTTGGTGCAGTTATTATTGAGTTCTTATATATTGTTAGGTTATGGATCTTATGGCGTGAAGCGGTAACTATTCTTGGAATTCCAAGTTTCATCATATTTTTGGCCTTCAAATGGAGGAGAAGGCATTTATCCATGTATAATTCTATTGAAGAATTCTTACAAAGCAACAACAACCTCATGCCTGTAAGGTATTCTTACTCAAAAATCAAGAAAATGGCCAATGGTTTTAAGGAGAAATTGGGTGAAGGAGGTTTTGGTCAAGTTTACAAAGCAAAGCTTCAGAGTGGTCGGCTTGAAGCAATAAAGATGTTAGGCAAATCAAAAGGTACAGGGCAAGATTTTTTCAATGAAGTTGCTACCATTGGAAGAATTCACCATGTCAATGTGGTACAAATGATTGGTTTTTGTGTTGAAGGATCAAAACGTGCCCTTGTGTATGACTTCATGCCTAATGGTTCTCTTGATAAACATATTTTCTCTGTAGAAGGCAATATTGAAACTTTGGGTTGGGAAAATTTATACAAGATTTCTCTAGGAGTGGCTCATGGAATTGAGTATTTACATCGAGGTTGTGATATGCAAATCTTGCATTTTGATATCAAGCCTCATAACATTCTTTTAGATGAGAACTTCACTCCAAAAATCTCTGATTTTGGTCTTGCAAAGTTATATCCAGCCAAAGGTAACACCGTGTCCTTAACTGCAGCAAGAGGAACTCTAGGATATATGGCACCTGAGCTGTTTTACAAAAACTTAGGAAGTGTCTCTTACAAAGCTGATGTGTACAGTTATGGGATGTTATTGATGGAAATGGCTAGCAGAAGAAAGAATGTGAACCCATTTGCAGAGCATTCAAGTCAGATCTACTTTCCTTCATGGGCATCAGAGCAATTGAACAAAGGAATGGAGCTGGAAATAAGAGAAGCCTCAGAAGATCAAAAAAGAATTGCAAAGAAAATGATCATTGTAGCCTTGTGGTGCATACAAATGAAGCCAATTGATCGCCCTTCAATGAACAAAGTCATAGAGATGCTTGAAGCAGAACTTGAGAGCTTACAAATGCCTCCCACCCCTTTCCAGTTTTATCCCCATGCAACACAACAAGATGATGTTACAAAGAAAACCTACCTCACAGAATCTACTAGTTTTTCTTCATGCAATGATATAGAGATTGAGTCAATTAGTTTACTTGCAAATGAAAATCAAGTGGGATGGTAGTGAAGAAGCTTGTATTTGTATTAGATTAGCTTCCTTTATAGCATAACCAAGGCAATGAGCTTGTTCTTGCACTAGTATGTTTGGCAAATTGGTAGTTATGTATATTTTGAAGTGCATGAACTAGTTCTAATTATTTTGCCTATAACATCAATTGAAGAATTCAATAGAGTTAATTTTTATGTTTCAAAACTTAATTAAACTTCAATTTAAATCATGTATCTAAAGTTCAATTCCTGTTCATTTTCTGTCTCTATAGAAGTTGATAATTCTGAAGATCTAGTTAAGCTCCCAACAAAGAAGCCAACATAACCATGACTTCTGAAAATTTTGGAGTAGAAAAAATTAGTTGTAGGGTTGCACCATTTCATTACCCTCAATAAGATGCTTGAACTTGCCAAGAAACTGAAAGCCGGGCATTAATTGGTGATGTACACAATTGACTTTGAAAATTCTCATGTAGAAAAAATCAATTGTGGGGTTGCATCAGTTTCATTCTTTTCAATAGGACAATAATCGACTACAATAGCCGGTGTTTTTGAACCTGCCAAGAATTGGAACCCAGTCATTATTTGGCGAACCACATTTACGTAATTGACTTTCAAAGTTCTCATGTAGAAAAAAACAATTCTAGGGTTGCACCACCTATTAGTATTAAACTGAGCAAAGACTTTCTCATCTCCGCTTGTCTTCCTTATGGCTAGAACAAGGCTCCTTATTGCAGCCCTTCTTCTTGACCTTTCTCATGAAAATTGCAGTGCCAAAGCAAGCCTTCAATGTCTAGCTTCTTCTTGTGGCAATATTATGAATATTCATCATCCTTTCCAATTAAGCATTGATCCACCAAAATGTAGAGACCTAAAGTATAATCTATTCTGCTAGAAAAATGTCACAGTTTTGCACCTTAATTCAGGAAAATTCTGTGTAGGAAATCGATTATAATCACTCAATGATTAGAGTTATGGATCCTGTTGTTCATCAAGGTAACTGTTCCTCATTACCTCTCTATTCCCTTGGCATTGATAAGGTCTCAAGAGACAGTGATGCATATTACTTTCATCCTGGAGAAGCTCTTCTTTTTTTAAACTGTGGAAAACTAGTAAATGATATTCACCATGTGGATGCTTCCTCTTGCATTTGTGTTACTAATTCATCCAAGTCTAAAAAGGTATTATCATGCTAACATTGGAACAACAACAGCATTTGGATTAGAGAAGTCATGCCGGGTTGAGCTGATGGTTCTTTGTTCTTCAACAAGGATGAGTGATAGCAACATTACCTACCTAGATGTTCCCTATCGGTTATCATATGGACTTGGGCTTTGGTGGTTTCCCTACCCTTCTATATGGATTGGTACATATCGAACATATGTTGCCTGTTGATTAAAGACATGGAAATGCAACTCGCTAATTTTGGATCTTTTTTTTTTTTTTTCTAATGAACCATATGCAAATTCAATGTCTTGCTTCTCCCTAATTTTGGTTTCTACTTTCTGGTATATTTTGCAGTTTTGGTCATTCATTACACTTATTTATCCTGCACAGTACTCGTATTAGGTAATTAGAACCTTTCTCTTCTGGAGCTATTGTTTTTCATTTATCCATGTTGCATTGTCTTGAATCTTGAAGCATTAAAAATTC